GCCCCTCCGGGGCGAGGGACTGCCCCGCTTCCCGTCCCACTTCCAGGAGACCTCGAGGCGAAACCTATCCATCAGTGCAAAGTGATTGGTGGCGGCGGGCCCGGGGTGCTTCTTGCCCGAGCGAAGAAGCGCCTCTGAGGACTCTCAGTGGCGCCCACGGAGGAGATCTTTACGGTCTTCTCGAGCCAGAGTCGGGCCCCATCTCTTGATGAGGGCTCGGTTTACTGCGCCGGGGCGTGCACAGGGCCGAGCACTCCAGCAGAGTCAGGGCCGACAGTGCTCCAGGTCCCTTCAATGCAAAGTTCGTGCCCTCTCCTTATTCCCCCGGCGAGGGGCTTTGCGTGGGGCAGTGGAGTGTCGGGAGTGGGTGCTGGTGGGCCAGACTCCTCGGGCAGCCCAGTGTGGTGCCATGTCCCGCCCTATCTCTGGACCTTTGGCTAGTCCTGGTTCCCATGAAGGTGGCTGCCAGGCAGACTTGTCGTGTGGTCATCGAGTCTGAGGGAAAGGCGGTGCGCCCTTTAGCGCGTCGTTCGTTGTCCACCCCCCTTCCCTCTCCCCCTTAACACTTGTTAAGTGCCCTCGGAGAATAGAAATAACGAAGTATCAAGCGCTCTTCATGAATTTTCATTGCTGGAGAGCGGTGCAGGGAGGTGTCCTTCCCAAGAGCAAAACGGGGCCAGATGAGACATCCATGCATGACAAATATTGAAAGAATGGAGTTTGCGACACAGGCGGTGGTGGCCAAGTGCGGTGCCGCGGCCCAGGCTCCGCTTGTACATATTCCTGGTTTTGTAGATTTCCTTTTGTAATGTCTTAGGCAACCCGAGAGGAACCTTCCCGCACCTCAGGCGGTTCCTTCGGAGACGGTGCTCACCTCCCAGAGGCGAATGTACAAAGTGGAATAGTTCATCTTTAAAGCCATCACTGCCACAGGGGCGAGGGCTGATCTCGGCACAGCGAGGGAATCGCTTCTGCCGGGTGTCGCATCGAGCGCTGAGGAAGAAGTCGGGGAGCGATGTTTCATTGCCTGCGTACCCCAGTGCATAAGCAGAACTCTAGCCGTGCCCGTCGTGGGGTTCTGCCTGCATCGCTTTCCTCCCTGGGGCACTGCTCCCAAATTTTCCAATGATCTGCTAGGTCTGATCGGTTTCAAGACTTGCTCAGAGCCCCCAACAGTTTGGAAACAAAAAATCCTCAAAAAAATTCTCAAAAAATCCTTCTGTTTCCCTCTGCAACTCGCTCCCTTCGTCGTCGGTCCTGACAGAGATGCCTCTCAGGGACACACAGACTGCACAGACTGATTTCCCAGACTACCTGCCTGAGTTTTGTGGCCTGGTAGTGTCGTGCCACCTCCGCGGTGTGACATTCACATCCTAATGCTGCAGGGTTCACCCCACCTGTTTGGTACCATCGTGCACCAGAGCTGAGCAGGCAGCCCTGGGAAAGGGAGAAAGACTGGCATGGTAAATGAACTGGGCTCCCCAGTCTCCCTGGGCATATATTGTTCTCAGATCATGAGAGATCCTCATCTCCTCTTTTTTACCCCTTAAGACCTTCAGTAAAGCTGTCGGGAAGATGCTTCACCACTGCGTTGAGAGGTACCCTGGCGCCTCGTCACGCTCTCGAGGAGAGTGACATACCGTGGTCAAAACGCTGTGCTGGGAGAAAGCTGTGGCAGAGGTTTTGAAGGAAAGAGCTCGTTTGGGGATGTTACTCCCCTTCGAGATCTGGCGACACTTAGCCTGTCTGACCTGGGGGAAGCTTTGCAAAGTTGGTGTATGGGGTAATGTAATCAGGGGTCACTTTGCTCATCGGCTTTCAAGTGTCTGGCTCCAGCCAGAATGTGGCAGGAGCAAGAACTTGCCACCTCATAGGTGATGACTCCTTGGGCATGCAAGGAAGGGAACAGAGCCAGTTCTGTGGCCAGGAAATTCCCCCAAAATCACCTCAGTGCTGCTAGGGGTTTGCTTTCTTAATTTTCCATGTGTTTTGCAGTAGGTGTGGCGTGGATTTGAGAGGGATGCACGGTATATGTTAGATTTATACTTGTGTTTCTGGCTATGGTGCTCCGCCCATAGGGATCATTTCCTGGCTGCACTCAAGTCTATTTGATTTTGAATAAGGAGATTCTTCCTCGTTGCGCGGGGCCAAGGTGGGGAAGGAGAAGGCTCCTGTTCAGGTGTGTCCCAGCGGGACAAGAGGGACAGCGAGCTGAGTCCCTGTCCCCCGGGCCTGCACAGGCCTGGAGCCCAGGCTGGAGGTGACCAGGTGGCGCGGGCACCGCACCTCGGCAGAGCAGCACAGCTGCTTCCCACAGCAGCCTCAAGGGCTGGCCACGACAGGTCCCTGCCCTCACACCAGCTGCCGTGAGGTCGCGAAGCATTTAACCCACCCAGCGCTGAGGAGGGCAAAGGAGGGACAGGGATGCTCGCAGTGTACGGGGGCAGCGCGACCCCGGGGAGCCACGGGGTGGAGAAGAAAACATCTCTCTCTTCGTGCGGTGCGGAAGCTGTGTTTGCTCTCCCAGGTGGGTCTTTCGGATCAACTGCTCGGGAAAGTGATCTGAGGGCGAGCGACGCCTCTGCCAAGCTGCAGCTGGGAACGCCGAGGGGCCTCCTGGCCGCAGTGCTCAGTGCCACTCGGAGCGATGCCCACCAGGCGCCGGTGGCAGCGAGCTGGGCGGAAGCCAGACCGTGCCCCGGCCGCACGGAATGCCAGCAGCAGCTCTGAGCGGTACAAACACGGTCACAGCCCAGGGGATCGAGGGAAGGGTCGCACTCGACGCTCGTGAGACCACGTCTAAGACTTGCGGGAGGTTTTGGGACAGCCGGTGCAGAAAACAGTCGTGAGGGGCGAAGGGCTGACGGGGCTGACGAGGAAGCTGGAGCAGCTGCCTGGGGAGGGAAGGCTCCCCTGGAGCTTCCCTGGAGCGGGGCTGGCTCAGCCTGGGGCAGAGGTAGTGTCGGGGTCACCCCGCTGCACTGCGGGGATGGGCATTCAGAAACCTGTCTCTTGACAGAGGTGCGTGGTGAGAGATTGAGGGATGGCGGGCATGAATGGAAACAGGAGTCCGGACGCACTCATCCCGGTCTCCTCCGAGGTCCCTTGTCCCGCCCCGCGGGTGGTGAACGGGGAATTGTATCGCCGTTGCATCGCCCCTGTAACGGGACGCTCCCTTAGTTTCCCCTTTCCTGGACGGTGGGAGCAGTCCCACGGCCACGCGTGGGCACTTTCCTGACTTCGCGCAGAGGTCTCCGCCTTCCCCTCTCGTTTTTTTCGCGTGGACCGTCTGCAGGCGGGACTTTCCAAGAAGTGGTTCTTGCAAAGCTCTTTGTTCCCTCCCGTGACTCACGCGTTTCCCTGCCCTTATCACGGCGATGTCAGCGGCTTTGAAGTCCAGTCATTTATTACCTACCCGGAGGTGGCCCTGTCTTGCTCTGCTGATAGACGCGGGTACGCTTCCACGCGGGGTTTGATCTCTGCCCGCGATGGTGGCACGCTGGAAAGTCACTTTCGATAAACCTCGACAGACTCTGCCGGACAAACTATTGCAGCGCTAATGACAGAGATAATCCTCTCCTAATCTGGCGGGTAATCCATTTCACTCTAGTGAGAATTTTTAAGGCTTTAATCAGTGAGAGTCTGTTAGGGAATTATTAACAGAACCTCCGCCGAGCGAGCTCGTCCGGAGAGTATCAATGGGAGTGGGAAAAGGGAGAACGCAACGGGGCCCGATGAGGTCAAAATCGATGCACGGCCGGGCGCAAGAGCTGACGTGATGTATTTTGATGTTGCGATAGAATTGCCTTCAGCTCGAACGCCACGAAAAATCCGCGCCATCGATTCCCCCTATGCCCGCTCTGACAGCGGCTCTGCTGGCGGCGGGGACTGGCAGTCCCGGGGTAGCGGCAAAAGCTCCCGGGGGAGCATCTTCCCGGGGGTAAAATGCGCAGGGGGGGACGTTTCCCGGTGCCGAGAGGGAGGCTGCGTCAAAGCCAAGAGGCGCGTTTCGGTAGCGGCTCGTGAGGAGAGGTGCCGAGGCTGCGGGGGCCCTGGCCCGACGTGCGGGGCCCGTCGTCGGGAGCGGCCGCGGCGGGGCCGGGCGAGGCCGGGCAGTGCCGAGCCGGGCCGGGCGGGGCCGAGCCGGGCCGGGCGGGGCCGGGAGGGGCCGGGCAGTGCACGGCGGGGCCGGGCAGTGCCGGGCGATGCCGAGCCGGGCCGGGCGGTGCCGAGCCGGGCCGGGCGGGGCCGGGCGGGGCCGGGCGGGGTCGGGCAGTGCCGGGCAGTGCCGAGCCGGGCCGAGCCGGGCCGGGCGGTGCCGAGCCGGACCGGGCAGTGCCGGGCGGTGCCGAGCCGGGCCGGACGGGGCCGAGCCGGGCCGGGCAGTGCCGGGCGGAGCCGGACGGGGCCGGGCAGTGCCGGGCGGTGCCGAGCCGGGCCGAGCCGGGTCGGGCGGTGCCGAGCCGGGCCGGGCAGTGCCGGGCGGTGCCGAGCCGGGCCGGGCAGTGCCGGGCGGGGCCGGGCAGGGCCGGGCGGTGCCGAGCCGGGCCGGACGGGGCCGAGCCGGGCCGGGCGGGGCCGGGCGGGGCCGGGCCGGGGCTCCGCCGGGTCCCGCCGCTCCCCCCGCCCCGGGCGGCGCCGCCCCCGGCCGCGCGCGGTGTCCCCGGCGGGCGGCCCGGCCCCCCCGGCGCGCCCTGATTGGCTGGCGGCGGCGGCCGGCGGCACGCGCCCGGGGATGTCGTTATAAGACCCCTCGCGTGCCGGCCCGCGGCGCCAGCGGCTCCGGCCCCTCCCCGGAGAGCGGCGGCGAGGCCCGGCCTCCCGCCACACAGCGGCGGGCAGGGCAGGGCAGGGCAGGGCAGGGCGGGGGCGCCGGCCCCGCCACCGCCACCGCCACCGCCGGGGCGGCTCGGCCAGCGGGCCGGCGACAGCGGCTGCGAGCGCGTCCCGGCGGGGCTGCCCCCCTGCCCCGTCCCGTCCGCGCCGGGCCCGGGAGCAGCATGGAGACTGTGCTGCTGGAGCACTTCCCCGGGGGGCTGGACTCCTTCTCCTCGCCCCCCTACTTCGACGAGGAGGACTTTTTCTCCGAGCCGCCTCCGCGGGACGTGCTGGCCGCGGACGGGCTGCTGGAGCCGGACGTGGATTTCCTCAGCCGGCAGCTGCAGGAGTACTACCGCGACGGCGGCGACCCCGAGGGCGGCTACCGCTGCCCGGCGCCGGCCGCCGCCTTCCCGCCGTCCCCCGCCTCGCCCGGCTTCGCCTACGAATGCTGCGGGGCGGCGGCCGCGGTGCTGTCCCCCGGGGGGCGGCTCCAGGCGCTGGGCTCGGCCAAGCGGCGGCGGCGGGTGCGCTCCGAGGCGGAGCTGCAGCAGCTCCGCCAGGCCGCCAACGTGCGGGAGCGGCGGCGGATGCAGTCCATCAACGACGCCTTCGAGGGGCTGCGCTCGCACATCCCCACTCTGCCCTACGAGAAGCGCCTCTCCAAGGTGGACACGCTGCGCCTGGCCATCGGCTACATCAACTTCCTCAGCGAACTGGTGCAGTCCGACCTGCCGCTGCGCAGCGCCAGCAGCGAGAGCCCCAGCCAGCCCAAGAAAATCATCATCTGCCACCGCGGCACAAGTAAGTGGCGGGCCGGGACGGCTCGGCGCGGCCCGGCACCGCGCTCCGCAGGAATGCCGGCCCCAGCAATAACCCCCTGCCCTTCCTTTTCCCTCCTGCCCTCCAGGATCTCCCTCCCCGAGCGACCCCGACTACGGACTCCCCCCTCTGGCCGGTCACTCGCTGTCGTGGACTGATGAAAAGCAGCTCAAGGAACAAAACATCATCCGGACAGCCAAAGTGTGGACCCCCGAGGACCCGCGGAAGGTGAACAACAAACCCTCCGTCAACGACATAGAGAACGAGCCCCCCTTCGACTACGTGGCGTGAGGTGCTGCGCGGGTGGTCCCCGCCCCCGCCCGCTCTGTACATGCTGTATGTAGAGACCTATATTGTAAATGTAATTTAAGATTCAGACTCTAAGGGCAATCAAATTTATTTATCTATTTATTACGGAGTAGTGATAATGAGGTAGAATCGTCTGTTTTGAATATATAATTTATATAATTTATCTTGATTTTTAAAAGATATGCAATAGGTTTATTCCACCAGCACCTTTCTTTTTTTTTTTTTTTTTTTTTTTTTTTTTTTTTTTTTTTTTTTTTTTTTTTTTTTTAATGGGGCAAATATGCCAGAATCTGTGAAAGTAATTTATTGCCGCACGTGGACTCTCCTTGTGTTGTTTAATAATAAACCCGAATTGTACGTTGTGGAGCGGTATATTTGTGGCAAGTGGCTTCTGAGAGCCCCACCATATCCCAGGGAAGCCTTGCAATGAACGCCTGGACCGGTCTCCAGGCGGGATGAGCCCCGAGACCCAGTGGCACCCTCAGCCCAGATGCTGGCCACACTGTGCCCCATCACCTGCTCGGGCTGCGCTTATAGAGCCGGGGGGACGGGGACGGGCGGGGACACACTTTCGCCTTCTCTCCACCCCTTTTGACGTCCTCTCCTGAAGTGCTTCCAACTGATGTCTTTGTCTATCTCTAGAAGGTCCCTTCCTTTCAGTGTCTGAGCACTGCTTGTGGTTTCCAGCTGGAAGATCCGAGCCTCCAAACACAAACGTTGCGAGGGTGTGTGTCCCCCGCCTTGTACTCCCGGCCGTGGCTCCGTGGGAATGGGCGCGCTATCCAGAGCCGCACAAAGCTGTTCCTGAAAGTTACCGGGGAGGGAAGGACAAGGTTGGGGACCGGGCAGGCTTGGGGCTCTGCCGGCTGCCCCGAGCCTCCCGCGGTTCTCTCACCGGCCGCGCCTTGGAAACAGCCCGAGCGCTCCTCGCCCTGGGGCTGCCGCTGGGGGCGGGGAGGGGTGCGTGCATTGCAAAGCCATCGTGCAACTGGTGGTAGAATCGCTCTGGTAGCCCCAGCTCAGCGTGCCCGGCTGCGGAAGGGACGGCTGGGCTGCACCTGCCCGGGGGCGAGGGGTGGGGGCGGCAGGAGCGGGTCGGGCCGGGGGCTGCAAGTGCTCCCGGCGGGAGCGGGGGGGCGGCCCCGGGCTGGGGCGGGGGGCTCGGCTCGATGCCGCAGGTGCTGATTTTCCCGTGGCACCCGCGGCTCAGCCCCGACGGCTCAGCCCCCGGCAGAGTCCCAGATGCCCAGCCCGGCCCGCGGCCGGAGCAGAGCTGTCCCCGCACGGTGCCTAGGCGGATGGGAACGGCCCGGGTGAGCCAAGGTGTAATTATAACTCATCATATACTGTACATCTCTCCTTCTCCTTCGTTTTTTTTTTTTTTTTTTTTTTTTTTTTTTTTTTTTTAACTGCCTCAAAGTGGGAGCAATATGTTGCATGCATGCTAATTGCATTAACCTAGTTAGACACATTTAGTTCCCTAGCGCGGATGGCATGGATCTATTCCAATAGTAATTAGAGGAGCTACTTACACACACAAACACGCCGAGGCTCGGCCGGGGCGGGGGCTGGGTGGGGGGTTCATTGCTTATTTATTTGCTCACTTTTCGTGCGATTCTGGGCTGCGGCGGGGCTGACCGGCCGCAAGCCTTGCCCCGTCGGCGGCAGGCGGGCGGTACCGGTGTCATTGAACTTAAACGGGGCTCTTTGAGAGAAAAAGAGCCGACCTATAATTCGATCTTGTCCTGTATTAGGACCTCATTAAACACAGAAAGTCGCTTTTTCACAAATGCTTCCATCAGGCATGTAATCTCATTACACTCATTAGAAAGTCAAATGTTAGTCGGACTTCAGTTTAATTATAAGTTATGGAAGTGTTGTACCGTTTCCTTCTGTGTATAGCCTCGTTCGTCTCAATTGGCTTTGGTGATGCGATCCCCCACAATTAAAACACTACAATCATTGTTATGTGGCACCTTTTCTTTGGCATGCCACTTTTTTGTGATTCAATGCTTCAACACATCCTTTAGTATGGTGCAGATGAAGCGGAAGAGCCGGCCTTCGCCTGTAAAGCACCAGGGTCTCTATCTTGTCACTCTCCCGTCTTGACTTGGCAAGTCCCTTTAAACGCAATCTTCAAAGAGACTGACAGCTCCTTTTGACTGACTCATCATCCATTCACCCCAGCGCCGCGCTTCTGCGACAAGATTCGCCGCACAGGGCAGGAGGGAACCGCTTGTGCAGGTCCCCCGGGCCAGAGGGACCCGGCGGCTCACGCAACGCCGGTTCGCAGCTTTCGCGGCAGCTTTTTGGGGTTTGCTGGTGGGGAACACGGCTCGGCACGGTACGGACCAGTGTGGGGAAGGCGTGAGTGACAGCCACGCAACCCCAGTTCCCAGCCGCCTGCCCCCTCCTCCCCGTGGCCGTGAGCTGCACCCTCTAGCGCTGCCCCCGAGGCCCCGTGGGCAGTGGCTCCCCGCCTCCCTGCCCCGCTCCCAGAGTCCCCGCTGTCCTCCTGAAACCCCGCACCGGCTCCCGTGGGGCCGCCCCTCCGCGCCCGCACTGCCCCGACGGCGCCCCGGGGGGGCGGGGGAGGCCCGTCCGAGCGCCGGGACCGTCCCGCCTCCCTCCGCCGCTCCCCGCAGCCCCGCGGGAGCTGGAAAGCAGGGTAGGAGAGAACAAAAGGGGGGTAAACCCCCAGCCCCGCTTGGGGTAGGAGGGAGTGTTAGAGGCGCTTGCAGGCAGTTTGCTTCCCGCAGTCTCACAGGAGGGAGGTGCGGATTCTAGGTGTGCGGGCTGATGCTGTGCTGCCGGAACCAGCATCACTCGTGATGCCCCAGGTGTAAACACAACTTAATTACCGAAACCGACAATCCTCCTTTAAAAAAACCCAAACCAAAACAAAAAACCTAAACCAACCCAAACAGCAATAAAAAGAACCCCAACCCGAAACAAACAAAACCCAAAAACCAAAAAACCCCCCCACCCAAAGGGAGGGAAGCATCAGACCGCTCGCCTGCACAGCCAGCAAAGGGATGGGAAGGCGTGCGTGACTTCTCGGCAGAGCTGTGCGCAGGCAGGGGCTGCCGTGGGCACTGTGAACCCGTCCCGCCGCGGTTCCCAGGGCCTCTCATCTGCCGGCAGTCGGGTGAGCGCCCTGCGAGGCGCGGGGCGTGAAGCCTCCCGAGCCCGGGATCTCATCCCTCTTTCATTCACGCATCTCTCGCTGGCACCGAGTACCAGCTGCGAGGTCGAACAAACACCAGTTGAGTGTCCCCTGGTAAACCTCCCGCTTTCCAAAGCATCCCGCAGCCGGTGGGAATGGTCCTAAATAACTCCACAACAAACCGCGCTGCCGAGACCTGGAAGCGTGGGCGGGAGGCGATTCCCACGACGGGGCCGGGGTCTGGCCAACAGGTGCTCGGGTTTGGCGGAGGGCGCCGGGGGAGCCCGGGGAGGCAGAGCCTCCGCTGCCAGAAAGCAGCCTGCTCCGGCGCCTCCGGCTTTACATGGCGTGGAAGCCGCAAACAATCGCAATGATATCTTTATTGCTAGGTTCATGTCCTGGGCTATAACATATCAATCCCTGTCGTGGTTCTCTCGGATGCACCTGGTATTTCAAACTTGTTCTTTTTGTGCTTCTGGGTCCTGGACTGCAGCTGCCTAAAGCGAGCAAAGAGAGAGGCCCTTACAATGTGTCCAAGACGTGTTGGCATGGTTTGCTTGTCTTTAATGTACCATTAACTATTGTCTTTACACAATATGGGAACTGTAAAGCATGACATGTGTTATAATAAAACACATTTTCAACGATACACTTGGACTCGGCGCTGGGATGCAAGCAAACAAACAGGCCCAAATCTTGTTTTGTCTCCCTCGCTAAGCCTACTGGCAATTAAACTTAAGACCACTGCTTTCCCCTGATCAGCCAATTAAATTTTATGTCTCCTAATTTTTCACATAGAAAAAAAGTCTCGGTGCCGGCCCCTAAAGACATTGATTTTCTTGCTATCACCTGGCGCTCAGACCTTAGTTCCATTTATCAAGAAGGGAAACGTCAGGCGTTGCATAAAGTGACTCTGTTACCATAAGGCTCTCACCATCCTGCCCTATTGTTTTCCCTTGTTAATAACTCATTACCAGGATTTAACAAATCAACCATTACATATGTTTTGTGTCTCCATATTTTGATCCGTACGATTAAGCAGATGTTACGATTGAAAATTGAAAAGTCCAAGGCTACTCTCGTCTGAAAGAAAGAGGGCAGCCTCAAACAACGAGCTAACAATGAGATTCAGAAGATCTTCAGAAAAACATTTACGACCAATAAACAGACTCCAACCTGCTCCATTTCAACCATTGTGCGCCTTAGGGGAATAATTAGGTTGAATAGGAAGAGGTCCGCGGGGTTTTCAATGCCAAGCCCACAGGTGCGGGGTGGCACGATGAATGATCCGCCTGATTTTTGCCAGGCTCAAGGGCCCTTCTCCTGGCCGGGCGAGCAGATAGAAATATTGTCATTTCTTTTAATTCACAGCGTTACTCTCAGGGCGAACAAAGGGGCGGGGGATGAATGGCTCCGGCTGCAGGCAAGGCGCGCCCGGCCGCCGCTGGCCTCTCCGGAGACCGCCCGGCGGGGACGAGCGCGCCGCCTCCGCCGCGCCCGGGCCCGGTCCCGGCGGGCTCGCGGGGGTGTCGGTGCCCCCCGCGCCGCCGCGCGCCCCCCGCGCCGCTCCCGTGGCGCGGCCGCCCCGGCCCCGCGCCGCCCCCGCGCCCCGCGCCGCCGCGCGCCTCGCCGCGGACCGGACCCCGCGCGGGCGCACGTGCGCCCCGCCGCTCCCCGCGCCGCCGCCGCGGGCGGGAGGGGGCGGGCGGGGCGGCCCCGGGCCGGGGGCGGCTCCCAGCCGCAGCCCCCGGTGCGGACCCGCCGCCGTCGGGGCTCCGGCGGGCGGCAGCGGGCGGCGGCAGCGGGGCTCTCCCGCCCGCCGGTCCGCGTTGCGCATGGAGGTCTCCAAGAGGGGGCCCGTCTGCCGAGAGCCCCCGCGGGCGAGGGCGGCGCCGCCCCTGTGCGGTGGCCGCGCCAGGGGCGGCCCCGGGGGGGGCCCCGCGAGGAGCCGGCGCGGCGCGGCGCGGGGCCACGTCTGGCGGCGGCCACGCCGTAAGGAGCGGGGCTCCCCCCGGGCGGCCCCTGGGGCTGCG